CCGCCGTCGTCACCAACCGTCCCGCAACCGTCAGACACCCAGCAACGAACCGGTAGCCGGCGTCAGCCTGCGATAGCAAAGGCACCGACAAACCCGTTGAGCCCATCCTGCAGCCCGTCAGCGTCACCACGCTGCTGCCGTCGATGCTCAACAAAGTTGATTCAGGTTCGTGGAACGTCGCACCCACTCCCAGGTTGTTGTCGCGCCAATCCAACCAACTTGAAAGTTTAAGAGACCATGTCTTGTATGCATAGATAGCGCAGGCCACGGAAGCGCTGTTCCCCACCACGCGTAACACGCTGTAATCCGACACGCTGAATCCGTGGCGCAGATACAGAAGGCTTTTCCCGGAGGACATTGTATTGTTGAGCAGCGCAAAAACAGAGTGATCACTGACACTGAGGGCATTTACGTACAACAGTTGTGCGTATCCATTGAAGCTGCAGTACCGCGTGTACAGCGAGCTGCCACGCACCAGCGTCAGCGTACCGAACGAGTACAAACCAAAACCACCGTACCTCAAGGCATGCGCCTTGACGTTGCTCACCAACAGCGAAGACGCACTCAGCAAAATGTTCTTCAGCAGCACCAATACGCTAAGCTTTCTCCTCCCAGTGTCAAGCAGCTGGACCTCGGAAAATTGCACCGCGTCAACCTCCGTGACGGCGATGTCGCAGTGCTGCGGGAGGGCGAGTGCAAACACAACAACAGAGGACCACATCACCGTCTGGCTTACACGGATCAGGACGCCTGCTGACTCCGCCGCCTCAGCACCCCCAACAAACTGCAGCGCGGCACCCTCACGGAATGTGCACCCACTGAGCGTGATGTTGATGGGGAGATGCAGCGGCATACTTTCAAAGAAAAACGTGAGCACTGCATCCACGCCGCTGAATTTCACACCCGCGTAGCAGTGGTGCGTCTTCCACATGTTCAGCGTGAGGCTCGCCAGCGTCTGGTTCACCACGCAGCTCGTGTCACCGTCAACGGCTCTCTCCGGTAACGGCGGCACAACCGTGTCGGGCACCTCGAAGGGAAGGCACGACGCGCCATGCCATCCGTCCTTGCAGCTGCACGAGCACGAGCTGCGGTCCACCAACTCCGTCCCGGGCATGTAGCACGCCGCGTCGTCGTTGCATGTGCCACACCTGAAGACCTCCACCTTCTCCAGAAACACATCGTCGTACGACACCTCCTCATCGCTCTGCAGGTTGCACCCAACGACAAACCGCGCAGCTAACTCAACAATCGTGTCTGGCGGAGAAAAATCAGCGAAGGGATAACTATTGTCCACCTGACGGTTATATGCAAGCGCCACGGTGGTGCCGCTGCCCGACAGCTTAATTGTGTAAAAGGATTCTGGCACACCTATTACTGAGGCTGCAGTCACATCGTTGCCCTCCACACGCCACTGTGCACCGTCCTCGAGCATCAAAGAACCGTCCAAATACAACAGTGCGAATTTCGAAAACCTCGTACTGCCAGCAAATTTACAGTCCGCCACTCTCAGCAGCCCCGTGGAGCTCACGGTGGCCAACAACAAAAAAAAAATGCCATTGACCGCGCTCATCGTGTTGTTCTCGAAAACAAAGTAGCCGCCGTTCCTCAAATGAACACCGTTATAATAAACGGCCGATGTCGTTCTGGAATCCTCCTTCTTTGTTCTCAGCGTATTTCCCTTCACAATGATTCCGCCACCATCAACAACAACAGCAACGGGGAAACAAACTGCAAAAATATTCCCCTCCAAGTTGTTGTCAAGCATCAGCAGCGTCGAGTTAGTGCCAAAAGCAAACCTCGGAAAGTGAATAGCGTGGCCCGAGATCGCCACAATTGCACTGCCCACCACCAGTATCTGGGATCTCGCTCCAAAATCACCCTGAAACACCAACTCACCAGAATCCAGCATCGAGGATGTCACGTTCACTTGCACGCGCGCACCACTCCCCCTGATCGACAGGCCCATGAGGACGCACTGCAGCAGCGTGATGTTGAGTGTCTGTTGTGGTGCGTCAAAACCCCACAGGTCCAGCACGATCGCGGCGGTGAAGGTCACGTTGACAAAGCACAGGCCACGCACACCGGGATCAGGATCGTCCACGGAGCTGATGCTGCCACCGTGCACGCAGCGGACCTCCGTGTCCTTTGCATCGGGGGGCGGGAGCGGGAGCGGCCCAAGGCCGTCCGGAACCGCAGCCGGCAGACACGTGCCTCCGTAGCCGCCAGCAGCGCACACACACTCACAGCCGCTGATGCTGCTCGTCCTCGCTGCAAAGCACACGGCGTCCATGGTGCACGCGCCACAGTCCAACACCGTCACGGGGGCTCCAATATTGAGCACTTCTCCGTAATCCATCACAGGTGAGCCCCTTGCCTCGTTGCACACGCCGTAGATGATCGGGTGCGTGTCGGATGGTGGTGGCCAGTTGCTTGTCATGTATGCAATGCTCGACGAGTACGAGCCGTAGTTGAAGTTGTTATGTAGTATCGACCACACACTCCGATCGCGGAACGCAACGCCGTTCTTGTTGGCCACATGCACGACATAGGCGGTGCGGAACTCGTTGTCGCGGTGCACCAGCCAGCTGCCGCCAGTCACGGTCAGCCTTTTTGCCATGAGCATGGCAAAGCCAAGACGGAAAGTGCTGGACACAATCTGCAGCACGCTGCCGCCATCCACCGCAACGTCCCCAAACACACACGCGCCCTTGTAGTATTCGTTGCTCGGCGCACTCCACAAGCTGTTCTGTATGGAGAACACGGAGCCGCCGCTGACACGGAGGTACGACGCAAGAGCGTAAATCACGTGCGACTGCGACCTGATAACGCAGTTGTCCATGTAGAACACACTGGACAGGTTCGCACCGAGGCCGCGCTCCACGAGGATCGCAGCGCACGATTCCCCGCCACACCCCAGCGTCGACCGCGTCATGACAAACCGCGTCGACAGAAGCCGGACGCCGTCCAGAACAAGCGCGGGGCCGTACCGGGATCCCTCGTGGCCACGGGTCGTCGCCACGTACTGCGACCCGCCAACCGTCGCGCGCAGCGTTGAGTTCGCCAGCAGCACTCTCGAGTGCAGCGGCATCGCGCCATGCAGCACGATCGTGCCCTCCAGCGACGTCACATTCGTCATGTTGACGAGAGCGTACGGCACCAGGCGCGCCGTGATCTCGCTGAGGCCACCAATCCGCAGCTGCGCGCCGCCCGTAAGCACGCAGTGGCGCAGCGTCACGTTCAGCGGGTCAGCGGACGAGTCCATCGAGCGCAGGTCCACCGCCACGGTGATTGGCCCGCTGAACA